AATGAGCTCATTTGCACAACTTGTTATTTTGAACACTGAAATTGTTCTTTGTTAAACTACCTGCACATGAATTATACTTATTTATTGTTGTATCAGAATTATTTGTGTTTTTTGACTGATTCTTGTGTATCAATGTAAACTATTGTTCTGTTTGTATTCAGCTCACTCAATTCACAAATTTAGTTAACCATCCAAATTATAAACTATGACAAGGTCCCCATTCATAGATTCTTGACAGATGAGAAATATATCAAAAGATTTCCAGCTTAATTTAAATTTTGTAAACAATCCGCCTCTGTCTGACTGAATTGAGAGTAAATTGATGCTTTCCTCAGAAACAGCCATGTGTAAATGAACTCCTCTGATCTGCTTGTATGTGAGCACAGAGTTTATCATCAGATTATTACCCTCAGTGAGTCTGAAGGTATTTTGCAGGGTGCTGCAGGAGAGAGGGGGAGGCAGACGGTGAAAGTCAACTTTGTGTGAATGTGATATGAAAACACAGTTCACCCATCACTCATGCATTTTCATCAGCTGACATTTGCTGGCATTTTATGGCTTCCCATTTATTCCAGTACTTATAATGCGACAAGTCAATACTTTAAATATTAAGAAAACGCAGCAGAGGTGGACGACCAGAATAGTTAAGCAATGATGTTGAGTTGGTAGTTTAATATACTCTTAAGCTTTAGGTCATTATTGTGGAATAAAGTGCACCCAGCTCCATCTAGAGTTGATTTGAGTTGTGTTTGTACAACATACGTTATTCTGCGTTGAGTGAACAAGAGCTTCATCATCTGGGAACATGATTGTGTGGTGCATCTTGGCCTTTTGTTTGTATGGTTTTTGTCAAAAAGAATTTCGGATGATTTTATTTTGCATCACTGTTGCAACAGCTTTCCATTCTCACACTGCATAGGAAATAGTAAAACGTGGGCAGGTTTACTATACACAGACTGATTATACATTTCTTTTAAAAATGGCCTCTTTATTGGGGAAGTAGAACAGACGAATCAAACAGTGGCACGACAGAGGACCCTCCACAGTTTTAATTGGCCTGAGTGACGCAGTAGATTCTTCTACTTGCAGAAAAGAAAGGATGAGGGGAGGGGCATACAGTTGGCTGCAATTTGCAACCTCACTGCTAGATGTCACTAAATCCTACAGACTGACAACCATCCAACCAACCAAACAATTAACCACCTAACCAACCAACCAACCTTCCAACCAAACAACTAACCAACCAACCAACCAACCAACCAACCAACCAACCAACCAACCAACCAACCAATGAAACAACTAACCAACTAACTAACCAACCAGCAGACTAACCAACAAACAAATGGGCAGGAGCACAAACTTAAACTCACTGGTGGAGGTAAAAAGACCAAAACCAACATTGTGTTCTGTCTTCTATCTAAACCACAGTTGGTTATGAAGGCAGGTGAAAGTGTCACATTTTCATTGGCATGTTCCAAGATCCAGTGGAGATTTGAAACAGTTACAAAACCACATTATCACCCCCCCCCCCCCTTTACAAAAACAACCAGTCAAACCTGAAAAAGCACCTGGCTCTAGTTTTTCCTTTGGATGGAAAACATGTCTGAAAATGTTTATATGGACAAAAGAAAGGAGGCATTTCAATGAGAAGTCTAAACAGGAACAAGTGACAAGGGGAAAGATAATTGTTTTTGCAGCACACGACTCCTTTTGATGAATGTCTCATTATATTCTGGTGATGATGGATGTGAGTGGAATAAAGCCTGGTGTTTATATTTGACTGTTGAAGAGATACGAGGGTCTCTCAATCCTATTCTTTACACGGTGAGGTGTAACGGTTCGGAGTGAAAGGTTTTAATGGCTTTCACTTGTTATTATTCTGTGTGTTATGACAGCTTGATTGGGCCTGCGGTCTTCTTTCATTGCTGTTCCATTTGCATGCACCTCCCTCTGCCTCCTTCCACAGCTTTGTGTTGTTATGGTAATTTTCATGAAGTAGATTGCATCTAGCTGGCTGCTCCACTTGGGTCTTGTCTGAGAGAGGAGCCCGAAGCAACAGCAGAATAATCATAATGAACCCATCAGTACAATGCCAGAGCAAAATATCATGCACGCCAGCACATCCCACACTAGAGCCATTTCAGTGACCACTGTGGTTACCTACGTAACTAATTAAAAAAAACTGATGAAGCCCTGTTCGCCCTAAGGTGCTGGTTTCTATCAGTCTGAAGTTTGTACTTGATTCACTCACACCCACTAGTGTGCCGAGATTCTGTATCTGTGTAAGGTCAGGGTTCTTCTCAAAGAGGCGGCTGAGCTAATGATCGAAATATTCCAACAGAACAGATGCCCTCTGGCCCCTGGTGTGACATTGAGGCAAAAAGAAAGTGTGGAAATTTGAATGCAATTAGTTTGTGTTTTTAAAATTTCATTAAAGTCCATCCATCCTCTAGATAACTTATCATTTGCTCGAGAAAACCCAATCAGACCCGGAGAGAACAAACAAACTCCACACAATGCAAAATATTATGCACACACAAAAGCCACTTCAGTGAGTGTATTTACTGTCCACATTTCTGTCTGCTCCGTCCACAATGTCCTGGAAGAGGAATCACTCTTCTGTTGTTTCTCCTAAAGTTTCCACTTATTTGATTTTTTTAGATTTATCTTATCCAAACTGAAGATCAAGGGACAGACGTTAACATACTATGCATCAGACATATCTGGGATTTCGGTACTATAATAAAGTGTACAGGACTTCAAACAAAGGATGGAAGTGTATTAGAGAATGTGCCAATAGTGCAAACATGATCAATCAAGAAAAGTGTCAAAAAATGCTCTATGCCACAATGTCAGACAAAGAAAAACTAAATCCTACATCCGGTCCCTGGTCCACATCCTCACCAAAATGTCATGAGTTCTTCACTGAACCATATCGCATCATTTCACCAAGTTTTTTGGGAATCCGTCAGGTACTTTTGTGTAATTTTGCTTACAAGCAACCACACAAACAGACAGACAGGGTGGTACCGTAATCTCCTCAGTAAAGGTAATAACATAAATACTTCAGAAAGCCAAGTGTCAGGTAATTACTGTGATTACCTCAACTTGAAGGAAACCTACTTTTCTAAGTTCAAGAATAAAGGAAACATCGTTATTGATACTAATACCAAGATGGGAAAATTAAATAAACACACATGACAAGATCCCATGCAACTTTTAATAACCATTTATTTTCTGTGTCTGCTGCCGGCAGATGTTTTGAGTTTGAGCAGAAAACCTGCGACGTCTCCTGAAAACTAAATGGACTTGCCCTTGAATCAGACCAGATACATGCATGAAAATCTCTTACAACTCTCAGTCTACATCACAGCCTTGACCAACATTGAATAAAACAGCACAGCCACTGTGTGCCATTCACACAAGCATGAATGATCATGTTTAGCATCCGGTAACTCATACATCAAGTCCTCTCGAGCACAATGGACAGCTCCTCTACCGATGCATCTGATAAACAGACGACAATTTGGCATTTCAGACACCCAGGGAGTATTCTAACAAATATAAATGAATCATTGGAAGCAATGCCACATCCTCACACCTCTGAAAGCCTCTTTAACACACACACAGTTTGTCTGGAATAGTCTTTATTCTGAGGTTCTCTGAATCTGCACGTTCCCTCCAGCTCTCACATCTGAAAACCCATTTCCAGCACCGTTAATGTGCATGTTCACAGCCTCAGTATTTGTTTGTGTGTCTGCAGGCTTATGCTAAGTGTTTGTGTTTGACAGGGGGATTCATGACAACGGCACCTGACACAGGGCCAGTGATGGGTAGCTGCCATCTGGTCAGCCCTGAGGGAGTCCGCCGGCCACCCAGAGCTGCTCGGCTCGAACAGGTAGGACGGTCTGACATCAACTCATCTCTGAAATCACCAAACAGCAGATAATGAGGAGCAGACAGCTGGGCGATAGACCCCATGTGTACCCCCCCCCCCCATCCACACACATCAACACCCAGAAGACTGTCATAAGTGTTGTAGAAGTGGCATTCAACAATATCAGCAGTTTCTGTGGTCTTAGTGAGTTTCACATTATTGACTGTGTGTAGCCTGTACATGTTCGTTTGAAGACAATGATACAACACAACTTCCTACATCTCCGTCAGAATCACATTTTATCCTTCACTTGACAAGACTGTCTCTGATCAACCGCTTCAGTGTGTGGTTGCATGATTCCGCCCATAGATGGCAGTATTTCAAAAGAAACATCTGCATTCAGCTTTTTGCATTTATCTCGACCTCTGACTGGAAATCATACATTCATGAATTTATTGTCAGAGGGGGGTCTGGTGTTGTTATTTACTTGCTGACTGACCGAAGGAACATAATCAAGCTCCAAAACATTTTACAAACCACATTTCACATAAATATGAACCATTTGCACATGTGGAGGCCAGTCAACACATCAACATATGACGATAACGATCAATTTGACAAATAGGTCTGTTTCTGACACTGACATCACCTTCATCCTGTGTGCTGCTGATAACACAAACAGACCACGTCCCATTTCTTTGCATATATATATATATTCATTTTAAAGTGCAGAATATTTCTGTTGTGACTGTATTAGCTATTTTGCATTTATTATTCATATATATTTCCCTCATTGTATAACATCTACAAACACTTCATTCCTTAAAAAGACCCATAGAATAAATTGCAATGCGCGCAAGTTGTGCCAAAGGGGATGACGCGATGGATGTAGGTTGGGTCTGAAAGCGCGCACACACTGCTACGTGAGGTGCAAGTGAACTGATGGGTGACTTCATGTGTAGCACCGGCATCTACACACACACACACACATCCACACACACACACAGTGAGCGAGAGAGAGGAAGGGAGAGAGAGAGAAAGAAGGAGGGAGGGAGGGAGGTTATGTGGCAGCTAGTTGCAGAAAGATGATCAATCCCTGAACGAGGCGGGAGGGTCACTTGACACCGTCTCCTTCTCAGCGGCTGACGGGGGAGATGCTCACTGCTGTCCGGGTGACTTTACGGGCTGCAGCGCCCATGGAGATGAATTAAGCGGCAGTTTATCTCTCTGCATCTGGCATCAGGTCCGCACACATCCGCTGACTGACCGACCGAAACGCACGGGACCTTCCAACACCGCAGGAAAAAAATCCCGGGATCTCCTGTCTCTACTCCTGAATGAGTCTCCTCTCATTTCAAGGTGAGCACACTATCATTTTACAGCAGTGGCCAGGCAGCAGCATCCGCCTGAGAGGCAGCGTGCAGCAGAAGCGTAAAGTTGGATGAGACTTTACGCACCGTGGACGCAACGCCGGTGGCATTGTGCCCTCGGGAAGACGCAGTGTTTTTGTGTTGTTATTTTATCTGCACACATCTGCAACAACCTGCAGATGTGTGCAGATGCTGCTGGAGAGAGAGCGGTTGTAAAAACGCCTCAGCTCCAGTGCCAATCTGATCCACGGGCAGAAGCTGCTCTGTAGGTGTGCTACAAATCAATTCATCATCAGTGGGATAAATCCACTCGCCTGCATGTGCAGATTTCTGCAGGAGTCTGTACACATGTGGGGTTTTCTGTGTGGCAGCAACCAGATAACTAGCCACCTGGAGAATAGCAGAGTGAAGTACTGAGCCTGGAGAGAGTCTGTCCTCTGGTGCTGCTGCTGCTGCTGCTGCCTCCTGCAGCTGAAGCTCAGCTTGGCAGAGCAGGAGCCACTGGGACCCTGATAAGACTGGGCAGGAGCACCCAGATGGAGAAACTAAAGCAAACACACACTCACATGTTGTACCAATGCCAGCTGCAACAATGCTGCTGACAGAGTGAATCTTTGTTCGAGCTCCGGTCTGGAGACAGGGTGGTGGAGGGCTGTTTGCAGGACTCTCTCTCCCCCTCACCCCTCATGCAGACCAGATGAAGCCCTCTCCTCTCTGTATGCTCTGGCTTATCTGGCCGGCCAGTTGGAAGAGCTTTTATTCTCCTGGCCCCTCCAGAGTGGGTAAAGCCTCTAACAGAGATAGACTGGCTTCTCTCTGTTCGTGTCCATGCCAGTCATGCGCTCCAGCACTTTACCACTTGCCTGCTAATTATAGAATTTAAATGAATCTCCACATTAATTCAGCCTCTTTTTTGCAGCTGATTTGACTGTAAATGAAACTGAGGTTCGGGCTGTGATGGTTTCTGTTCATGTGATGGTTTTCTGTTAGTACTGCAGCTGAGGGTTAACCACACCAGATCCTGAAGTAGATCAGCTCTTAAAGAGTCACTTCATCCAAATGACAAAAAGTCATATGTTCCATCTTAGTCCTTGTGGTTTGTGGATTTTCAGATGATTTTGATCTTTCATGCTAAGGCTTTTAAGATATCCGTCTCTGTTACTTGCGGTGCCACACAAATACGATATAACCTGTTTGGATGACAATAAAAAAAAAAAAAACCTCATGTGTTTTCCGTAACAATCTCCTGCTTCATCAGGATAATCCACAGACCGAGCTGTGGTCACTTTCCACTGGAACTGCTCTAAAGGCAATCAGTATAATGAAATCTGAAGTCTGTGGATCATCCATAACTTTAATTTAAAAGAAAAAGTTGTGCATAAGGTTTTTCAATGCTGCTTTTCAAGGCTTTGAAGGAAACAAGACAAAATCCATCCGTCCTTGGGTGGCGACTTAAATTTCAGAAGCAAATATCAAAAACAAGCAGACAAACCCAGAGTGGATGAGTTTGGATTGAGGAAAAAGAGATCAATTATAAACAGGCTTCTGTTGATTTCTAATTGATTCATATTTGCTGCATGTAATATTTTTACTCCCCTTTCTTCAGATTATTTTGAATGTAGAGGGATTGCAAGTTTATTTGCGCATTATTTTGGAGAATTTTGATCCTCGAGGCGATGCCAAACCAGTGTAGGTGAAATAATTCAGAACATCTGTCTCTGTCATTTTCAGGCACATTTTCACACCATGATTTAAGTGCTATCTCAGACTTTCACAGAGATTAATGGGCTGTACTGTTTGTATGTGAACACATATATATATATATATATATGAAAGAGAAGGGAATCAGGAACACAACATTACAAAAAACAGCTTTTGATTGAAATGATCAATCAGACGTTGATTCTGGAGTCATTTGAATATCAGAGAGCAGGATGTGGGTCAGGGGCCGGGGCAGCTCACGGTTGCTGTGATAGTACAACAGGCGAATTAGTGTATGTAACACAATTACACGGTGTGTGAGTGCACAGCAGCTCTCTGCTACTACCCATAGCCCGAGACCCCCCACCTCCAACCGCCACCCCCTTCCCCCCAGCCGCTACCCCGGCTGCCCACGGAGACGCTGATTAAACACGACTGTTCAGATGCTACAGCCCGAGGAGGAAGGAGGAGGAGAGCCCCCAGTGTGTGTGTTTTGTGTGCGTGTACTTGTTTGCGTGTGTGCCTCTACTGTACGTCTGTGCCTTCATACACATGTGCTTGTTGTACCGTATGTGTGAGCATTTAGTTTGTCTTTGCATCTGAGTGTTTTCATTAAATTCAATAGAGAGAAAGAAAAGAGACAACAAACGTGAAATGAAACTGACAAGAGAGGAAGAAACAAAGAGAGAACAAAATACTGGGGATCATCAATCACTGCTGATACGCTTTTCTCCCATCTCATCTCCCCCTGCATCCCTCTTTCAATCTTCACACTTCGGCTTGTTTCAGCATGCGATCCAGGCCTGGAGGGAGGTGGACGTGCAGGTATAGAGGAAGGTGGAGAACAGGGACGCTGCAGAGGTGGAATAGAGAGTAAGAGGTGGAAATGGAAAGGAGGCGGGAGTGAGAGAGACTAATAAAGACAAGACAGGAATGAAGGAGCAGACAGGAAGAGAGAGACAGAGAGAGAGAGAGGTGGCGGTGGAGGAAAGAAGTGACAGGGAGGAGAGGTACAAGTGAAAGCGTGCAGCTCACCTAGCAGATGGCAGCTTTGGCAGCGCTCAGCATGCAGTGATGGCGGTCTTGCAATATGGTGCATCGCCTCCAGATTGTCACACCGACGTTGATACAAACAGTGCGATAACTTTGCTGATGTGTGCGTTTTACTTGACTTTCTTCGGGCAGACGGCATATGGTCATAAAGAAAAGCTGACAAAGTAGAGGGACGTCACATGAAGTTTTTTTTTTTCTTGGGAAAGTATTGACACATCATATTTAAGTTTGCAGAACTTGCATATTTTCTCAAAGAGGCTCTAAAGTGGATTTATACATGAAGACCAGTTTTCTCATCATGAACAGCACGACTCAGCTCATGAGAGCAGATGTAAAATGTCGTCTGTGGTTCTGGGGGAGGCTTGAGAAAAAAGCCCAGATGATGCCATCGGGATTTGGGGAAAGCGTTTTGTAAACTTGGGGGATGTGATTTATAACACTGCTTGTTATAAGGCAGCGGGGGTCTTACAAGCAGATGCTATTAAGTTGAACCTTGGGAAATAAAAGTTTCAGTGTTTTCAGAGCTTGACTCGTCACGTTTCTCTTAATTTTCACTGGACCTTTTTATAAGAAAATCAAAAACGACATGACAACTTCCTAAAAGTGAACTCAAATCCTCTCGTCAGCCACCCAGTTGGAAACCCTGCATGTTAGTGGATGGGACATGGGCCAAAATAACAAGCCGAGCCGGGCTAGATGTAGGCGTTGCACTGTTGTCATCACCCATTGTTGACTTTGTTTGTTTAGTGAATCCAGATTGTCCGACGCTTGGATCTTTTTTCCGCTTTGACATTCTGACTTATCCATAAACCGCCCAGAATTCTGAATAAAAACACTGTCGTGCAACAACTCAGGCGCCAGCGTAAACCTGGTGATTTGAGGTCAGCGCTGCCACGCATGGACGACCACAGCAGGAAAAGACACAGAATTGTGTTAATTAGTGGCGACAGATGTTCTGAAAGTGGAATACACAAAATTGACATAATTTTCAGGAACCATAACATACGTTAAATAAAATATAAACTGTGACACAAAAGTGTTTAGAGCCTGTGTCCTGTTCAGGGGAGCCGAACTCCCCTTAGCTCCCCTGTAATTCGAACCCTGGTCTCTGTCATTTTAGGTCGTTCTTAAACGTATGTATGTTCAAGTGATTGGTCCAACACTTATGTCGATGAGACCTTGTTACCAGGGCTCCATCCCTCGATTGTAAATGTGCAAGATGGCAGTGTAAGTATCAGGGGTATGTTAGCTTAATTTCTGGATAGTGGGAGGAAGTGGTGACGCATCGTCCATCTTTATTTGTGAAAATAAATGAAAATATTGGTCATGTGATATAAAACATGGATGGAAATCATTGTTCATGTGGTGGAGTGAGGGTAAATCTGTCTCATCACTTAAAAAGTCTTTCCCTCAATTTCAGCAAACGCCTCTCACTCAAACAGATTTTCATCCATGGGAGGTGAAAGATTCTTGTTTTGTTCATGGCAGGTGAAGAAGGTGGAATCTTCAGTAGATAATAACATCAGTAGTTCCCTCACAAAACACCCTATTCTGCCATTAAGACTTTTAACTCCCTAAAATGCACAGAGGCTTTTTAAAGAATGCTGGGTTTATGCAAATTCAATTTAATAGATAAGAGAAATCTTTATAATTGCTTTTCCCTTATGACTTTGCACTACAGAGAGTGTAGCAAATACTGTCCATTAAAAAATGCTGCCGAGAGGCTCTTTACTGTGACGATCCATGGCTCCAAATATATTTTGTGGTGTTTTTTTAACTACAGACTTGTGGCGGTAGCCGCGGTACACAGAAAATATCGGAGCCCTGTACTCCTGTCTTTGTCCACCACCCACCAAACAACTGAACAGATGAAAAATGTGGAATCCATCCCCCTGCCTTCATTACCTGGAAGTTATAATGACCAAACATATACATTTTCACAAAGTGGAAACAACTCAGCAAGCTGCAGAACGAGTTGCTCACAGGCCGGTCTTACAAATATAAGCCATCAGTTCGCCCCTAATGTGGTTGCTTAGTGCAAAACAGTCCCCATCAGGTTCTACCTCCAGCCCACAGCACCTGGACTACATCTGATACTGCCGACGTGTTCCGCCCTTGGCAGCCACAAACCACCTGGGACTGTATTTAATAGAGTTTGGAGAATTCAATTTTAATTTGAGGATCGAGTTCCATTCCCTGTAGATGCTTTACTTTATTCCCACTATATCTTAAACC